TCCTGTGAACAATCCACTAATTGGTAATTAATTAGTTGCACATCTCTAACGCTCCCTTTCCAGGCTAACGGAGCATTTTACAAGCGTCAAGGAAGCACAGCTCCTTCCCCGGAGCCATTCAGCGCAACACCAAACACTGCTCAAATCACTGCAGTTTCGGGGCCTAAACCCTGATCCTCATGTGCACCATTCACAGCCCTGCACTACGGATTTCCTATGGCTTCTTGCAGCTTCCCTGCCGTCTTCATCCAATACGGACCCACATGCAGCCACATCTACTAGAAAATAGCAGTAACTCTTCCCTCCCCTGCTTTTTCTTACCCTATAAACCAATATAAACATCACATTCTCTTTGAGCCACAACTTCAGCATCAAACAACATGATTTAGCAATCTAAACACCAGGAGCCAACACAGTTTTCACACAGGCCAATGAAGACAGCAGCATGTCTCTACTCTGAGCTCCCTGCCTGCTGCAGAAGCCTCTCTCTGCTACCAGAGGGGAGAAGCAGGACCCCCACATCAGCAGCGATTGCCAGCAACAACAGTGGCATCCTGGCTGCAAACAACTCTTCCTCTGCAGCACTGCACTCCCTTGGCCCTCATAAATGGGGGGGGGGAACATTGCCTTGCCAAATCACGGCACATCATAATTAAGCAGTCAGAAAAACAACCCTCTTGCTGCTTTTCCCTATGGGATTTAAACTTGGGTTTCCACTTTGCTAACACCAGAAGCCTCACCCATGAAGGAAGGGGCAATATTAACTTCATAGAAGCTTGAGCTGCAGGCCCATCACAACCAAAGCAAAGCAGACCTGTTATCACACCCCCTTGGCTGGAGACAGCAGCCCCTGCATCACACACCCCTAACCACAACCATTCCCTGCACCACACTGAGCTCATTTCACCCCGGTCCCAAAGCCCTACCTGGAGCTGGAACAGCGAGGACATCCTTCACATGGCACGTACCTCGAGACAAAGAGCAGCCTGAGCCTGTGACTAAAGGATCTCCCTGAGACCCCTCCCAGCCAACACAGCCCTTTCCCATTACATTGATGAGGCCCCAGCTGAGGCCACTCCACTCATCAACAGCACTGCTGGGTGCAGGACATGGGGCACAAGTCTCTGTTGCATCCATTGACTGTTGCTGGAGCTGTTGCAGGAGCTTGCAGGTCACCATAGAATCATAGATCTTGAGCTGGAAGTGATCCATAAGGATCATCCAACTCCTTGCTCCTCATAGGGCTCCTTAACACTGAACCAAACATCAGCTTGAGGTCTGCAGGCTTAGGGGCTTTGGGGTGCAGCTGATGCTTTGTACTGGGATGGGGCCCAGTCTGTGCTGGGAGGGGGTCAGATGGGTTCCAGTCTGTGCTGGGAAGAGGCCAGGAGATCCAGTTTATACTGAAACGTGGGCCAGTCTGTACCGGGGCATGGGTAGGGGATCCAATTTGTCCCGTCCCCTTCAGGTCAGGGCAAACCCTCCCCAGAGTCATTTCATTGCATTTACACTGGTAAAGAAGCTTCCACAAATAAGCTTAGCAGAGATTCACAGGGTTCCTCCAATGCTCTTGTTCCTCTACCTCTATTTTTGAAGGGAACCAAACAGGAATCGGCCAGAGACTGGGGATCCTGAAGCAGGAACCTCTTCATACACATGCACGAAAGGCGAATGGGGCAGGAGACACCACCACTGCTTCCTGCCCCATTAGAAACCATTACCTCCAGCAGGCACCACAATGGGCTCAACCTACCTGCCAGTCTCTCCTCTTCCAAGCTGTTTGGGGGCTGACACAAGAGGCATCATCCGAAGCTCCCTGTCCCGAGATTCCCCTTTTCCTCCGGTTCCTGGCCTCGTCCCACCTTGCCCGCATCAAGCAGATGGTGCCTGAGCCTCGTGCTGGAAGTGCTGTTGGCCCAAATGAAGCGTAACGTGCCGAATTGTGCCTAACAAAGGGGTCCTCTGTTTGCCTTTCCCACGAGGGTTATTATAGCTGGCGTTTAGTTTGGACTGGGACCAAGACGTGCATTAGTGTTCCTCATCCTGCAGGGTTCTGTGTGCAGCTCCAGTGAGTGCAGGGGGCTTCCAGAGGGAAGCTTTTCCGGGGGTTGAAGTCTTCTTCCTATACATGGGCCCCTGTCTCTGAGCCTTGCTGCATGCTGGGGAGGGTCCAGAGCAGCCCTATACAAGCCCATCCTTGCCCAGTTTGCTGTGGGGCAGCAGTTAGAGCGAGGGGCAGGCTCAAGGTTCCACCCCACAGTCCCAGCTGGGCTGTGCAATAAGTCATTCTGGTTTCTCATATTGTGATAGCGATACTGAATTCCCTTCATAAAGGTTTCAGGATGTAATGAGAAAAGCAACAGGTTCCCACTGTGCTGGGCGGATGGATCTGAAATGATGAGATGTTCAATTCCCAGTGCATGGAGCTCCTGGAGGGACTTGTTTCTGCACTCCAGGTGACACATGTGCTGTCCCCAACCCTATATATGAGTTAATCTGAGGAAGATGCCACCTCCTCCCTGCAAACCTCACTAACACACCTCCTGACCAAGGTCTGAAAGCCCTTAAATTGCATTTTACAGCCTCAAAAGAAGCACCACCAGGATGCTTGGCAGCACCAATAGCTCACATGGGGTGACAGGAGCCCCGTGTCAGATGCCTCACCCTGTGCTCCATCTCTCTCCTATTAAGCAGTTTGCTCCCCACGTTTTCAGCACATCGTTTGCTGAACTGCGAACATCAAAGCATCTGCTGCCAGTGCCATGCTGTAATTAGGAAACAATACTATTAAACCTAATTCCCATCTCTGCTTTCTTTTCATCTCTCCTCCTCCTTGCTCCTCTGTTCTCTTCCCTTTGCAGTGTGTGGCCTTTGGAGTGCATGCTGATGAGCTGTTGTTTGGTCTAATCTGCAGCACTTCTTAATGGGGTTGTTCATGTGGGTTTTAACCACCTGCTCTCTGTTGGCTTCTCCCAGGTCCCTGCCACAAGGCTGGTCCGGTTCCTCTGCATCAGAGCCCATTGCAGAAGTGCTGGGGTTTGTGCTCATCTCTAATCCAGATGTTCATGGGCACAGGCTTCACAGCCTGTGTTGAGACTGCCCAAATTCACGTGCTGTGCTGTGAGGTGCAGAGAGGGACCAGTGCAGCTCCATGGGGTGTCTGCGCTGCCATGATTTTGGGGGTAAATCACTGCATATAAGCATCAAGGCCAGGTTGGACGGGGCTTGGAGCAAGCTGCTCTAGTGGAAGGTGTCCCTGCCCGTGGCAGGGGTTGGAACTGGATGAGCTTTAAGGTCCCTTCCAACCCAAACCATCCTATGATTCTGTGATAGTTTTGTACCCAGCTATATATCCTTCCCCACGGTTGTTTCCCACAGGAGCAGGGCCTGATTTGGCAGCAAACCCTATGATTTCTCCCATCCAAGACATCCAGCTGGCAACACTGGATGCTGCGTGCTCACTGTCACATTTTGCAAGGATTTTACCTTCAAATCATGCATCCTCCAGTCAATTTTCAAGCCTAAAGTGTGGGCACAACACCCACAGATGCAACTCCCTTTGTAAAATGGGTTGAGTGGGAAGAAGTAGATGGGAGTTGGGAAGGAATGGAGGTAAAGGAAGGGACAGGGAGAGTTGGGTGGCCCAAGGGCAGAGATGTCCCTGGAGCTGAGGTCTTGTGGAGTTACTGGGGTAGAGAAATGGAGTCTCCACTCTGCAAGACAAAGGATGACTTACACTTCTTTAATATATACTTTGAGCTTAATGGGTCACAGCAGGGCTGTAGGAGTTGAGTTCTATTTATACACGGCACTCCAGAGCATGCCAAGATGCCATTTCAACCCAAATTCAAAGGCAAAGCCCCTTTCCATGCTCTCTGGAGCATAACAGCAACACAGGGACGGAAACCAGCTACAAGTTACTGCTGGGGAAGCAGCTGGAATCAGACAGAACACATCTGGGGTGTGAGAGCACCGTTCCCCTCCGGTCAATGGCCAGATGTTTGGATGGGTCAGACTGACTCCTTCCTGGGAGCAGAGCTCTCTCTGCACAGCAGATGGTTTAGGTTATGTTTAGAAAGTTCTCTCTCATTTTAGTATCATTTCAGTGTAGGAATAGAAGGAAAGATCTAGAAGCTGAGGTTACTTTCAAAGAGGCAGTTAGTAGTAAGTAAAAAAATAACAGAAGTGCATTGAAGACATTTGTACCATGTAAGGTGAGACATTTCCTACCTAACCTTCTCCTTTTGTCGAGCACTGTGTTTTCGGCTGGATGAGAGCCTCTGTCTCCATACCATGTGCCATCAGCTCGGAGCCAGGTACTAGAAGAGCTGCAGACAGTAATTTGCCAAGCACAATGCTGCCTTTAAACCTAGTAGCTTGCAGACAATAATACTCTTTAACATGCTAATAGATAGTATTGTTCTTCAGATGTCTGACATTTATAGCAATACAATATCAGCATGCCAGGAATAGGCGCAACTTCCTAAGGCAAGTGCTGGGGAAGTAAAGGGATGGAACGGGAATCAATATATGAGATTTGTGACTGAATTTCACTTTAGGTTTCCTTCAATTGCTGCTGCTTCCTTCCTATATTTCAGAACTGATGAGGTCCCTGAAAGGTAATTCACTAAAAAAAAACAAACCCAAACAAAAACCCAGCATAAATATAGCAGCAAACATTGCTGGGCTGTAAATCAGCATCATCCACTGGGAAGCTTTGCTGGCTGGTATCCAAATGACAAATCAGAGCCAGGCCTTAGTGGCCCTGTTTAGTATCAGAGAGGCGATAGGCAGGAATGTCTGCCTGGAGATGTTTGCTTGGAATAGATGAATTATTAATCAACTTATTGTTATTTATTATTGTTCTTAAACAGCCTGCCTCCCTGAGCGTGTTAAAATGGATTTCAGGCTTTCCTTATTATGCCTAACAAGCATTTGTGCCCAGATGTGTAGAGAGGCGATGTTACTATAAGGAATGGTACCTAAATCCCCCATGCAAGATGCACAAAGGGGAATCTGTGGATATGGGGCAGCAGGTAAGGATTAGAAACCTCATTTCTGTGTGTATCCCTGCCCACCAGAGGATGCTGCTTGTTTCCTTGAGTCAAGCATCTTTCCAATGGCCACCCAACCTGTAATACTGTTGGAAAACCTGCAAGGAGAAGGCATGCAGCAGCTCTAAAGGGGAAGCCACAAGGTGAGATGGATGCTGAGGTAGAAGGCAGACAGCAGAGCTGGTGTTTGACCCCCAAATCCATGAGACTCCTTCCATAGATCATGTCCTCCCATGCATCCAAACCACATTCCCAATGAAGACGGGGCCTTGAGGAATAGCAAGCCTTACAGTTTTGATGCTAGCTCTTGGCTGGGATGGGAGCAGAACTGTTGCCATGATGTCTACTGAACAAATATGTGCTACTGCTGCTCTTGCTTGTCTTTACAGTTTGGAGGAGATGCAGATGGCCCTTTAAAAGATGCAGGCAGTAAGGCCTGCAACTTCTCCAGAGTGGTTTTATTCTCCCCCTCTTTTTCCAAGCTACTTGGCTCCCTACAGTAATTAATATTATCTAATGGGGTGAAAAGCAAAGCCAAGCCTTCATATTTGAGATTATTCACACAAACAGAAATGTAAACAGCTGTCCGAGTGAGACGGAAGAGATGGGCTCTGAGACAGGACCCCGCAGGAATGAGCAGCCTGGAGCCATAACAAAAGCCTGCACTGGGATATTTGATGCCTGCTGGATACAAATAGGAGATGCTGTGCAGCATCCTCATCAATGAGGCCACCAGCAGCCCCAGGGTCTCCATCCAGGGGTATAACTCTGGAGCATCTCAGCTCCCATAGAACTTGCTCCTCTCCACTGCTGTGATTTATCTCCCTGCCCATCTGTATGGTTTGCTCTAGCTCAAGGACTCATGTGAGCCCAAGGAGAAGGGTATCCCAACCTAAACTGCAGCCCTTTAGTTTCAGATCTATTCCTAGATAATGGAGAATGGGATCACAAAGGAGGGTGATTTCAGAAAACATGAAGAGAATGAGAGGGGCAGATCATTAGCTTGGCTCCATGAGGGCAAGTGGCTCTGGTCAAAGACAGCCCTAAGAGAGGCCCCAGTAGCATGGAATAGCTCTGTAATGAACTGGGCTGCAAGCTGATGCATTGTACCGTTTTGGAGGAGGCATTAGCTTTGAAACCAAGCAGATAACCTCAAGAGGAGTTAATGAAGCATTTCCCTTTGTGTTCCCCTGCCTTTCTCCCTTCACTTGCCCTGCAGGCACAGGATCCCTCTCCTGCAGCTCTGTGTTATTTATCCTGGCTTTGCTTAGATCTCCAAACGGGGCTTTTCCTCCTATGGTGTTTATAAAGACTGGGTTGTTTTTTCAAGAGATTGAACAACAAAAGTTTCTGCTGCGGATGCTGAGGGAAAGCTTGTGGAGCTGCTTGGCTGGTGCCTGTGTCCTGCAGGGAATGGGGATAGGAGCAGCGGGGTGGGAGCAGATGGGGAAGGCAGAGGAGGAGAAGGTGACCACAGGGAGACCACTCCAAAGGAGCTGGGAAACAGCACGGAACAGCATGTGATCCTGCCCATTGCAGAGGAGCATGGACAAGGGAGTGATGGAAACACTGACAGCTAAAGGGGGAGGTTGGATTTGCTCACAAACGTGTGGCTCTGGGTAGAGCACTACAAGGGGGTCAAAGGAGGCTGTACTGCAGAAAGGGGGGATTTCTCTTTGGCTCTGTGGGTTTGAGAAGGATGTTGCTGGGTTTTGGGCAGTGAACATCTGTGCTTACGGCACACCAAGGAGCCTCAGACGCAGGGGAATGGCAGAGCCCTGTGTTTGCATTAAGCAGAGAGACAAAGACGTGGTATTAAGAAGAGAAAGATCCACGTTACTCCTTCCCTTTGGGATGGCTCAGCCACCACCAACTCAGAGGCTTGAGTCCCTCAGCCACTTGAATGCAATAATCAAATAGCTCATTAGTAATCTTGTACTCAGGGTGTTCAGTAACAAGGCTCCTATAGAAGCCGGGGCTATTGCTCTTGCTTTAGACACACGGCAATAATAATAATAGTGAGCTTAATAATAGCAGTGGGAAAGTCTTGGGAATACCAGCCACACACTTTTTACTGCATGCAGGTTTTGCAGTTAATGATCTTGACGTGAGTTTTGGCTGGAAAAGGGGGCGAATCCTACCCCCCATGTACATTCATAGCTCTTTGGAAATGGCATCTCCTTCTCTCCCCCCAGCCTGGCTCACTGTGTGGTTGGGCATCCAGATTAAATGAGTTTCTGAAGTCTCAGAGGAAATTTGGGAAGAATCCACGTTTTAGGAGGTTTTGCTTCAAGCACAAGGCATTGGAGATGTTTTATGATGAGAAAATCACTTCTGAGCCAGCATCTCCTCTTCAGGTGAAGAGATGATGGTGACTCTTGTACTGCCACCCACCCAAGGCCTTGGTGCCCCATAAGATCTGGTGAACAAAATAGCTCACATGGCCTGTGCTGATTCTCACAAGGGTGAACTTCATCATATCTCAGCCTCCTCATGGTGAAGTCTTGGTAGCAGAGCCAGAGGATTTCAACACAGTGCTCTGCTGGCTGTATTCCGTATCCATTCACCTTCAGTGTTGTCTGCTATGGACAGAGCAGTTGGGTATCTGAGAGCTGGCAAGGGCTCTTCTTCCAGCTGGGAGGAACATTGGAAAGTTTCAACATTCCCTGTAAAAGTGAGGCTGGAAAAACGAATTTGTGCTTGGCCAAACAGGTTTTAATAAATGAAAACTTTTTTGTTTCCAGGAGGGTTCATTTTCTGTTCTAAAATCAGAGGTGAAAAGCGGCTTCAAAATGGGAAAACTCAAGGTAAGTCATTCCACGAGTCTGGGAAGAGGAAGTTGTGTTTCTCTTTCTGTCCCTGACACGATGCTCCTGTGAAATGACCACGATCTTTCGGCGTTCTTGTTTTGACACTCTTGCGTTGACGACTGTGTTGAAGTGATTTTTCCCAGCTCTCACCCCCGTTTAAATCAGTCCCATCTCTGCTGTTGCAGGCGGTACAGGCGAGACGCTGTGGGCACCATCACCATGGATATTCCTTGCATAGACACGATGGTGCCAACAGAGAAGCTGTGCATGGTAGGGAACGCACTTTATGTAACTTCCTGGCTGGGGAGTGTTTCCCAGGTTGATGTTAGAGTCACTGAGCAGATCTCCTGGCTGCACAAGGCTGGGGACTGGAAGCTCAGATCCAGCTTAGTGCAGCCAAAATATGGGTCTGATCCTTAAAACCACTCCATTACTCCACAAGTTATAGATGGGGCCCCCCGGTTGCTCTCTATCACCCATGAGGCAAGTTCGTCCCAATCTCATTGAGGACCCTGCATGTGCTGAGGGGCTCTCCCAGCGCCTCCATGGGCTTTCCATGTCTCTGACTTCAACCTCTAGCTCGGCGTGCAGCCCTACACAGCATCCTTCCCTGCTTGCTCATAGCTGTGGTGTGAGTAATCTGCCCCGATGCTCCCTAGCTCATCATGGAGCCTCTTGTGCCAACAAGAACAGGGTCAGGAATTGCTGCTGCCTTCACAGCTCCAGCTTGATTGCTCCCTGTTGGGTTCAGGCCTGAAGTGAGCCAGGATGTGGCCTTTCTTCTCCCTGGGGAACAGCAGCATTTTGTGGATACTGCTCCAGCAAGTGGGTTTGGAAGAAAAAGGGAGTGGAATAACCCTCTTGTAGCACAGAGTGCGATGGGGCAATCACGACACTTTCTAGGGCAATGTCTATGTGAACTGCTGTGCTTTCTCTCTGTATCACAAGCTCTAATCAAACTAAATTTACACATGGAAACTATTTAGCTGGTAGATCCTGATCATTCCCCTGAGTCCATGTCTGTGTCCTTGGGGAAGAGCTCACCCCAGGGATGCAGCAGGGCCGATACCACCTGCAGGCACTGGAGATCTCATGGGGGCAGGTGTTAGGGAAATGTTACCACTAAGAGAGTTGACAAATAAAACCTCAGGATGTGCTCATAAAGCTGGGAAGTCTCCCATCTCCTTCTGTTTTGGAGATCAGGAAGCAAAGCATGGAGGAACATTGCTGGTCTAGAGAATGGCCTCTCCTTTAGAACCCAATGTTGGATGCTCTGGATGGAGGGGAGAACATCTGAGCTGAACCAGCTCACTTCATGCCTGGTGAAACACCTGAACAAGCCACCCTTGGCTGCCTCTGGGGCTTGGGAAGGCAGCCTTTGAATTCAACACCCTTCTGCTGCCCTAAAACCAACAAGGGCCTTGTTCACTTCTGGGCAGCTGAATTTCCGCCTGTGTAAATCCAGCCCCCATCCACCCTGACACGAGGCACCACCAGTGCTGTTATTCCACTAAATCGGAGCAAAATGGCTCTCTTTTGTTCCCCTTTTCATGAACCCTGCGTGGTTAATCGCAGACTTGAGCCTGCAGGTGGGAAGCGGGTTGTGCTCCCAGGACAGCGTGTTTCCTCCAGTGGCCGTGCCACTTTTCACCTTTCTCTTCATGCCTTAAGTACACATTTCTCTGAGGTGATGGACACAAGGAAATACGTTACCAAGGCAATGGAAAAAACAGGCTCCAAATTACATAGTTCTTCTCCAGCAGGACTTGGAAGAGACAGGGGGAGTCAAAAGCAGAAGTTACTATTGAATTCATGAGCTGCATGAGGCTGGTGTGGAGCTTTGTGTACCCCCACTGCTAACTTTGGCAATAATCATTCCCTATGTGGGCATTTTGCTCTCTTCTGCATTACTGGATGGTTTTTGTGGGCACAATCCCAGCGGGATGCTCTGCACAGCATCCCTTCTGCCCCACGTATTGGTTTGAGGCTGTGCACTGGGGAGCCCAGCAGCAGACCCGCAGCTCCTGGCACTGCTGTTCAATGGGGTGACACCAGCAGAGCACTGGGGACAAGGGCGATGTCTGGAGCACGCCTGCTCTGTGTTCCACTGCCTTTGACTTCTGAACATGGCACCTATAGGAACCAGGAGTGGGAATGCTAACTGAGCCCTTATCCTGCCTGCTGTCCAGACACCTTCTCTTGGACCAGGGATGTAATTGCCACCCCTTGAGCCCTCAGCAGGAGCCAGGCACCATTACCCGGTCATGCCCCACAAACAGGACTGTCCCTCTGTCTGGAGACTGCTGTCACATCCTGCTCAGAGCCCCATTCCCCCCCATAACACAATGCTTTCAGTGAGAGCACATGGCTGCAGGCAGGAGGCAGATGTTGCACAGCTGTGCGCTGCGTGGAGCAACACTGACATGCAGCGGTCGGCTGCTGCCATCCCTCCCTGCCTCCCCCTGCCCATCCCACGGGCCATCCACATCAGAGGGATGGACACAGGCCAAGCCTAGCATCGCTTCCCAAGATTTTTAGCTGTTTCCCAGGGGGAAAGAGCATCCTAGTAATCTTCCTCACACAAAGTGGTGTTTGCCACACAGAAATCACCTGCTGGTCAAAGAGGAGGGAATTGGCAGCATCAATCCAGCAAGAAGCATTTGTTTTCCAGCGTGTTACTTATATGTCTTTAAAGTTGTCCCATGATGCCATTATAAGTGACTTGCAGCCCACAGGATGCTGATGGACAGCTATTCCCAGATGGAAAAGTGTGTGTATATGCTATAGCTGCAACTGGGAAAGGAAATGAATGTGAGAAGGGTTGAAGATGTTTCAGTTCCCAGAAGCTATGGGTGTTATGAGAGCTTGGCCACACCACGGCCTGCCAAAAACCAATCCCTTTTATCAGTGCTGGTTTGTTTTGAAACCTGGGCAGGGAAATGGGATAAGGTTGGGGCTATGCTGCCACTGTGCTGCCAAGCACATGTTCAAGGTAACGTCAGCTCATGTGGTACCTGGATATGACCCAGGCTGTGGCCAGGTGCCTCAGTCGTCTGCACTGGGGTCTTTAGACTTGAACGCAGGCATGGATGGATATATGGATGGATATATGGATGGATGGATGGATGGATGGATGGATGGATGGATGGATGGATGGATGGATGGAAGGATGGGTGGATGGATGGATGGATGGATGGAAGGATGGGTGGATGGATGGATGGATGGATGGATGGATGGATGGATGGATGGAATGATGGATGGAAGGATGGGTGGATGGATGGATGGATGGATGGATGGATGGAATGATGAATGGATGGATGGATGGAATGATGGATGGATGGATGGATGGATGATGGATGGATGGATGGATGGATGGAAGGATGGATGGATGATGGATGGATGGATGGATGGATGGATGGATGGATGGAATGATGGATGGATGGATGGATGGAAGGATGGGTGGATGGATGGATGGATGGAAGGATGGGTGGAGGGATGGATGGAATGATGGATGGATGGATGGATGCTGCCACCCTTGAGCACCAAAAGCCAAGGAGCAGTGATGACCGGGAATGGGAGAAAAGAAACAACAAGGAAATTGTAATATCTGATGCAAGAAAGAAATCCCCCTTTTGCCAGGTCAACATTTAGCAGACCATGCACTTACAGTAAAAGACCAGCAGATGCTGTTATAGCTGAATACATGTGAAATCAGAGCAGTTCAGTGAGGAACACTTAGGAAGGAAGACAAGTCTTAGAAGAGAGTCTGCTTTAAGCTGTTTTGGCTCTGTATAAGAATTCAAAGAGGGTTGCGTGATTCTTTAGCCAGAAGACTGAATGAGATTCTTGGATGCATGAGAAGGGAAATAGTGAGAAGGAGCTGGGAGAGGATTTTACCTTGTTATGGGACTGGGGAGACTGACTTGGGAATTCTGCATCCAGTTCAGGTGTCTGCATTTAAGAGAGGGTGATGGAGAGTGCTGAAAAGAGCTACAAAAAATGATTGAAGAACTGGAGAAACATCCTGAGAGAGGGAGAACTGGAAGCCCTCCATCTGTTTGCATTATTAAGAAGAGAGGTTGAGAGGTGGCTTGATGACAGTATATGAATGCCTTCACAGGGAGGAAAGAGCAGGCATCACAATTTCTGTAGTCTAGCAGGGAAGGGTGAAACACAAACGGATGGCTGGAAGCAAGAGCCAGATGAAGTTAAACTGGGAATTAATCATCTCCAGTGTTTAAAAAGCCCCATCAGGACCAATATTTTGGAACAAAACCATAGGAAAATGCTGGTTTTCTTCATTCTCAGTGTTCTGAAATAAAGACCGGGGTCTTTTCTGAAAGACCTGGGCTAGCCAAGGCACAAGCTAGCACGTAATGGCTTAATGCGGAGACCACTGGGTTAAAGTGATTGCATGGACACGCTCAGCATTGCAGTGGGATCCAAAAGGATGCATCAGCACATCGGTTTGGGCTTATCCACCAGGCTTCTGAGCAGGGCTAGTGAAGAATGTTAACAGGGAGCGAGGATGTAGTCAAGAAAAGAAAGAGGGGAAAAATCCATCATGGGGTTTTATTTTGCTTATTGGCTTTTAATAAAAGAAGGAATAAATCAGAGACCGGGAGCCTCGACACCGAGGTCTGAGTAATGTTGGTGTATGGCTGGACAGAATAACCCCATGTGAGTGGACAAATAGCTGTCCTGATTGAACGAAGTCAGGTTCAGAAGGGGTTTTGCAGCCCTGGGGTAAAATGTACTGGTGATGACAGCCCGGAGGCCCTTCCGAGTGGAAGCACCAGGTCTGCCTTTCAGAGGGTGGGATTTTCCCTACCCTGGGCTCACATCTGGTCTTTTGTTCTGGACAATGGGAAGGCCCCTTCCTCTGCTCCCGCTGCTGTGCCTGGCGCTGTTCCCACCGGCTCAGCCGATCCCGCTGCCTGCTCTAGGCTCCTTCCATCCACCTGCTTGCCTGCATCTCTGCTCCTAGAGGCTGAGGGCAGCTGGGTGTGGTTGGATTTGGGATGTGGTGGTGGCTGGTTGTGGCTTCTCCTCACAGTGATGAAGCTCAGCCCCAAGCATTGATGGAGAAGCAGAAGTAAGAGGTCTTGCTTTGCCGGCTGATGGATTGTCCAGGGTTAGAGCTGAAACAGGCCCTAAATGTCCCATCTGCACCTCTGTGAATATCAAGGGCCTTCTGTCCTGCATTCAGCCCAAGACTTCCCTAGGTCATGCAAGTGATGCAGGGCTTGGCAGCTGAAATGGTCAAACGC